GGAGACTGTTTTCTGTGGGGCAGGGAGTGATCAGCTGTATTGAACGTGCTGATTCTCATGGTAAAACTGAGAATAGACTACAGTAAGTGGCCACTGGCACAGGGAGCAGTCTTTGAAGTGATGGAAGTAACAATCTCTTTGGAAGGATGGCCAATGAATTTAGGATGGAGAATTTCCTTGGTGATAAACCCTGCATTTTGTTTTGGGTGTTTGTATGAGAGTTTCTAGAGATGGCTGGCATAAGGGTTGAGGAACTGAGGAGGGAAGGTCTACTTTAGTGTGGGTTGGGAGATCCAATACCAGAGAGGAGTTGGACAAAACCAACAGCTACTCTGGCTGTCGCTTCTGCCATGGTGTGTGTGCTTCTTCACCTGCTGCCTTTGGATGTCAGATTCCAGCACTTGGCTCTTGAGCCCTAGCGCTTGTCCTAGTCACCCTCTGGGGACTCTCTGGCCTTTGCCTTCAGAGTGTAGGTCACTTCATTAGCATTCCTGCTTTTGAGTCTTCTGGCTTCTTGAGTGAGACCCTGCCACCTACTTGTCTAGTTCCAATTTGTTTATGTGCAATGATGAGAATTTTTTCAGGCTCTGTGATTGTGTGAGCTAATTCACCTAATAAATTCTTCCCGTATATGCAAATGTCTGTGTTATTACACACTTACATGTATTTATGTCCTTTGGGTTCTGATTCTGTGGAGATCCCTGGCTCATGCAGAAGAGATTTCATGAAGAATAGCCAGGAAATGCAAGAAGAAACCATTTTTTTTTTCCTGTAGAACATCAGTGTAAAGTGCAAAGTAGGGGTAGTAGTTTATGAGGGAAAGTGGGGTTAGGGATGGCAGAACAACGCAGTAAGAGGTGCTGTTTTCATATTCATGTCTCCCCCCATTCCATCTATTTGGAGAGTTCACAGTTGTTGAAGCAGGGTCTATCTCTAAGATTCTCACTTTTCCAGAATCTATGACAATCAGGCAGGATCAGGAACAGTGAGCATTGCTTCCTGAGCCTTGGCCTCAATCTCTGAACTAGGAGATAGAGTGCAGAAGTGTGCAAAGTGCAGAAGTCTAGTTTGGGGAAAGTAGAGGAATCTGGACACAGTGGGTTTGAGAGGGAGGAAGTTAAGACTTTTCTTTTTAAAGATTTTGTAATCATTTGTAACCATTGCATTTTAAAAATCACCCATGATTTCTTATTCATTATTGTTATTTCTGAGCCCAGCACAGTTGCTTAAAACAGACAACTAAAAGGAGGGGAGGTGTTTTTGGCTTATGGTTCCAGAGATTTCATAGCTGGTCCATGTCACTGCTCTGGGGCTGTGTTGGACCCACAGCCATGGCATGGCAGAAGGGCATGGAACAGTAGCTCCACACCTGCATGGTAGCCAGGAAGCAGAGAGAGGAAGGGAGGAGAGTCTGAGATGAGATCCCAATATCTTCTTCCTGGGCCTACTTCCTTATAGTCAGCCAGAGGCTATGGACCAAGGCTTTAGTATATAGGTCCTTACAAGACCTTAAAGGTCCCAACTATAGGAACCAGTTTACTTAATTCCACAATTAGCAGATGAGTGTTGGAGTAAATCCATTTCAAGGGTCCTTCAGTCACAGTCCCTAGTTTAGCTTCCAGGGGATAAAATTGACAGTGAAATTGTTTTGAAAGTCTTATAGAGAATGTTTGTAGCTTGATGTCAGATCTGTTTGGGGTATTAGATAGTGGAGCTATTCAGCATGTCACAGGCTGAATTAGTCCTAGACAATGAAAAGAAAAGGACCAGGAGTGTGCAATGACCATCAATGGCAGTAAGCAGCAGTGTAAGGAGCTGGGAATGAAATGAATGCTTGAATCTTAAGGGGCCTTCCCAAGTGTTTACCTGTAAACCCACTGAGTCAGATTTGTGGAAGTATTAATTTGGGAAAACTTTTATTTAGATAAATTTTCATTTCCTTACAACCTGTAGACCCATTTTCTGGATGTGACAACTATGAAATAATCTGTCTGTTGTTTTCAGTTACTGAGTCTGGAGTCATTTGTTTCACCTGACACTAGTATGGGTTACACATTTCAGACTCAAATTCTCTTTTTACATATATATGGATACAAGTTTTT